TGGTCCCTCTCTCCTCCCCTCTCCTCTCTCCTCCCCCCTCTCCTCTCTCCTCTCCTGGTCCCTCTCTCCTCTCCTCTCTCCTGGTCCCTGGCCTCCTCCCCTCTCCTGGTCCCTGGCCTCCTCCACACTCTCTGTCGTCGTGGTGACAGTCTGACAGCTCTGGTCCAAGTCTGAGGCATGTGTGAAACTTCAGCCCAGAGCTTTTCAAACATAAAATACTTTCTCTGCACAAAAGTTTTTTCCTCTGTTCCATGAAAAGACTGTGTGAGTTTGCACCGGAGCCAAAACATACACTGCAAAACCTGATACAATACGAGGTGATAACTAATGTGTGGTTCAGACCAGTCTATGCTCTGGTTCAGAGTGAAATTCTCAAAGTTTTGTTTGCATTTTTCTAATTTATGGACATTTTATGAACATTTCTGAACAATGGTCATCCCTCTCTCTCTGTATGGACCAATTGTCACGAGGGGAAATGAAGAAGAAGAAGGGAACCCAAAATGCAGGACTAAAAATCCAATTTAATTTAATAAAAACCCAGATTGACAAAACCGAACAGATTCCAGAACTGAAAAACAAAACAAGGACAAACATGGAAGGGACAAGGGACGGAGAACAAGTGTGAAAAAGTACAAAGAGGATAAATACCATGGATCTATAATAATAACTGGATAGGGTATTACTAGCTTACAGCTGTCCCGCCCATGGGCACAGGGGGCGCTGTGGTACTGCTAAAACAGGCTAAATGTATCTTAAAGTAGCAATATGTAAGATTTTTAAGTCATCATTAAAGGGCCCTTATCTGTCAAAAGGCATTAATAAAACCTGCTTTTTTCCAACACTTCTCTAACTGATAACAGTAGTTCAGAGATGTTTGAATTTCTAAATTACTTTTCCAGCCCCTTGTTATTGTTTTCATTTCGATGTCCCGCCCTCTACCGTTTAACCAATCAGAAAGTCTGTGATCCGGGCGCCAGAACTCACCGCGTCGAGCTATTTCATCATTTTTTGCAGTGCACCAGAAAACTTGCACCGGTTTTCTTCTGACTGTGTGAATAAACAGCGGCTCTAGCTCGAGCTTTAATCACCGACGTCTGTAAATATGACCCACGACGGTCCAGCTCGCCTCAGACACACAACACAACACAACTTTACTAACACAGACTTCAGGTTTTAGTAATTAACATCAAACAGTCACGGTTTTTACAGACGCCCGAGTCTCCATGAGGCCCTTTGAGTCCCTCGCAGCTGTGATGTGTAGATGAGAACCAGGACCTGCCACTCACGGTTATCGGCCTCGCAGCTTCTCCTCCGGTTTTTATAAGGTTTTTAGTGCGTTTGGAGACTTCTTAGGACGGAAAAGTGCGCGAGGCAGACGGGTGGAAACCAGAACAGAGGTTTTAAGAGTCAGTCTGGAGGAAAGAGACGTCTTAAGTTTGAGTTTGAGTTTAAGAAAGACGGAAATGTAGAAATGTCTGGTTTGTTATCAATGGTTCACACTAAAGCGGACAAAATAATAATTAGAAAATATATTATGTTTTTCACGTATCCAAATCCCTCTTCTGTCCATTAGAAGTTCAAATAAGATAAGATAAGAGATCCCTTTTTTGTCCCACAGTGGGGAAATTTCACTGTTGCAGCGCACAGACAGGACAGGATACAGTAGGAGCACACAGGGAGCACACACAAATATACATAATAAGTAAGCTGCTTTGTTTCTTAGCTAGCTATAAATGCTGTAAATGCTTCAATATCAGTCTTTTGAAGAAAAAAACTGAAAAATGGTATTGCACATGATTTTAATAATTACATATTTACAGATACATTTACAGGCAGTTCTCATTGTACAGTCTGACAGCAGCACACTTAAGGGTACAAAAGTGTGGCAAAAGGCCAAATACTATATTTTGATAATCATAAGATGTATTATGTTTTTCATGTATCCAAATCCCTCCTCTGTCCAGTAGAAGTGGCTGGAACAAAACTGTTTTATACATTAGTCCAGTTTCCCTAAAACGGCTGTGTTTATTTTCTGTCACGGACCTGAGCTTTTGACGGAATGAGCTGCGGAGGTTTGTTACATATTTTCAGATCCACATTTGAGTCAGAGATTATTTTTTTTACACAGTAGAAACACAGTAATATACTTTCATTCAGTAAACTAATGAAATGCTAAACCAGACCTTTTTTTTTTTTAAGTTGAATTTTTAGATACAAAATGACTGAAACCATCTCGTACGTTACACATTTTTCAAGGGTCATTAAAATTTGTATTGATTATTTATTTATTTTTTATGATTCCTTATTAAATGCAGTTATTTCCTGATGTTGTGTTAATGTTAATCTTGTGGAAGTTCATCTGCTGCGTTTTCAGACTGAGGACATTTTATTTTCTATGTCCCTGAGTCACAGAATGATCCAATCAGAGGCTGCTCTGGGTTTTTAAAATGTCGCCAAACATTGTATTCGTCGATCTTTCCTTTTTATTTTATCCACACTATCTCTTTGATCTGTCTGTGTTTTAAATCTTTTTTTCCAATCTCTGATAGTCATTTTAGTTTTTGTGTTATAACCTTTTAAAGTCCAGATACTTTAACTGACACACACACAATACACTGCAAAAAACGTTCAAAAATGAGGTGATAAATGATCTTCCCACTCATTTTTGAGCCAAACCCTTTTTTAAGAATAATAATAAATGTCGTACAGATTCTCCGTGCGCCTTTATTTTGGTTTTGTTCATCATTCTTTGCGTATCGCTCAGACTGTTATGTTTTTGTACGGCTCAAATTATCAATTGCACTCCTAAAAAATAGCCCAAACTGAAGCCTCATCCAACTGCATTTACAATATTGGCAGAAATTGGAAGTGACTATTTCTCTGATTGCCACCCCCCTGACCCAGAAATGGATTAAAGGGTAGAAGATGGATGGATGGATGGATGGATGGATGGATGGATGGATGGATGGATGGATGGATGGATGGATGGATGGATGGATGGATGGATGGATGGATGGATGGATGGATGGATGGATGGATGTTAATTTTTTTTCATTTGTATTTGAGGAAGAAAAAGGTATAATAACGTTGTTCTTTTTTTTTCTTTTTGCTGCTTCACGTTTGTGTGACTGGACTGTGATGTGTGTTTTGTGAGGGAGGCGTCTACTCTGTCAATGTTCAAATCCAGGTTAAAGACTGTTCTGTTTGCCTGTGCATACGACTGAAGGATTTTATCTCCATTTTTAATGCACTGCTGTGATTTATTTATTTTTTTAAATTTCTTGTGTAATTTTGAAAGTTTTAATGGTTTTATTCTTTTGTGTGATTTTAATGTTTTAATTGTGTTTTAATCTTTTGTGTGATTTTAATGTTTTAATTGTGATTCTGGTGTTTGTTTTATGTGATGATTTGTGATGTGGACTGTGAAGCGCTTTGTGTTGCCCTGTGTATGAAAGGCGCTCTACAAATAAACTTTGATTGATTGATTGATTGTAACCTCCACAATTTAAATAAATAGATAATCAATATTTTTTGTATGTCTGGATTTTATTCATTTCAAACAGACACATAATTTATTATTTCAGTCTCTAGAGAAGTTTAATACCATGAAGAATGAAAGGAAATCCACCGAAATCAAAAAAATATATTTAATTAAGTAAATAATACTAATTCATTATTTTGATTAAAAACATCCAGTTTTAGTTTCTTTTTCCTTTATTTTTTTTGTGTGTGTTTAATTAAGATTTTTTTCGGTCTATTTTTAGGCAGACACAGCTCATACCTTCTGTCTCTAGATACGTTTAATACCATGAAGAATTATAAATAATATTTATTCATTATTTTCATTTCATATCCACGGTTTTTCTTTATTGTTATTATTTTATTATTATTATTATTTTGCCAGATGTTACATTTAATATTATTTTCAAGATAAAGCATCAATAATAATTTTAAAATCTCTGTGTCCTCCACCAAAAAAAGACTCCCTAAATAAAACAAAATAAACCAGAACCTTAAAACATTAAAAAAATATATAAAAATGTCCCGATAAAAATAAATATTTCCAAAAGCGTGTGACCCTGACGCCTCCTTTTAACCCCCGACAGTCTCTGCTACACTCTGACTCTTTAGGTGTATTTTTGGACTTGAACCGAAGACCCGCATCGACAGCTTCTACCCCAAAAACATCCAAATTCAGTCCAGCCCAATCCTGAATTATAACGATTTCAAAACAGCCCAAAACAATGCGATTCCAGGCCACAAATTGTTTTTTTTTTTTATTGACATATTTTGCGACAACTTTGATTCAATTTGAGGTAAAGTAATAATACTTTACCCCGACTTGTAGACGGTGTGTGTGTGTGTGTTGTGTGTGTAATACTATAGACATTTCTCCTGCTTTTGCCGCAGTATCTCTGTCCTTTTCCAAAATATGGAAAAAATAATCTAAATCTACCGTAAAAAATTCAACAAAAAAAAAAAACACATTTGCCCCAAAAAAAACCAAAATTCAGTCAGTCCCGTTTTGTCGCCCGCTCCGGTCACCACAAATTTGCAAATATCCAAAAGTGCGAGACCCTGGTTTGCATCCTGACAGACCCTTTTCACACCCCACAGTATTCTCTTTTACTCTCTATTTTTATTTTTAGGACTTGAACCGAAGTCCCGCGTCGACAGCTTCTCCCCCAAAACCATGCAAATTCAGTCCGGCGCTAGCTTGAACGCGCATTTTGGACCCATCCGTTACAACACGCTTTCAAAATATCCCCCAAAAATAAGTTTTTTTTACGTTTTTTTGGCATATTTCGCGACAACTTCGATTCAATTTGAGGCTAATAATACTTGGTACCGAGTTGGGGACTGGACTGGTGAGTGTGTGGTGAGTGTGGCGAGGGTTCTCACAAAGGCTTTCGTTAGCATAAAGTGACAGGGTGAGACGGGGGGGGGAGGCAGGGGGTGAGGCAGGGGGGAGGGAGCGGGTGACATCTTGACTGGGTGGAATGGTGGGAGCGCCTTTAATCGCGTGGCGCACACAGGGACAGAACCGGCCCACACTGGATATGACATGTAATTAGGACACACACAGACAGAGACACACACACACACACACACACAGACACACACAGACACACACAGACGCACACACACACACACATACAGACACACACAGACACACACACAGAGTTAGAGTAAAGTTTGGACTAGTTCAGGTCTATACCATGGACCTGGAATTTAATTATTTATGTAACTGTTTTACTTGTTTTTAATCCTTTTTTTACTTAAATACATGTTTTTTGCAGTAGAATATACAGTGTTTTATATCAGCTTTTTTATTATGCTAAAGTTAGAGATTTTAGACCTTCTTCTTTATTTTGCTAATCTAATAATAATACATTGGACACTCAAAGACGCTTCACGTGTCATTATTCCTTCACTCCATACACGGTGGTGATAAACTACTACTGTGGCCACAGCTGCCCTGGGGCACACTGACAGAAGCGAGGCAACCAGTCTGTGCCATCGGCCCCTCCCACCACCACCAACCGTTCACACACACACACCAGCCTCGCTCTAATGTGGGGGAAGTGTCTTGCCTAAGGACACAACCACACATTCTTCCTGTTTTGTTTTGTTCGGCACTTTCCCCTGTCTTCCACAGTCTCCCCTTCTCATTCACAGTCTCCCCCTCTCTTTCCTCTCTCCCCAGTCTCCCCCTCTCTCCCCCCTCTCTCCCCAGTCTCCCTCTCTTCCCCTCTCTCCACAGTCTCCCCTTCTCTCCAACAGTCTCCCCCTCTCTCCCCAGTCTCCCCCTCTCTCCCCAGTCTCCCCCTCTCTTTCACAGTCTCCCCCTCTCTTTCCTCTCTCCCCAGTCTCCCCCTCTCTTTCCCAGTCTCCCCCTCTCTCCCCAGTCTCCCCCTCTCTTTCCCAGTCTCCCCCTCTCTTTCCCAGTCACCCCCCTTCTTCCCCAGTCTCCCTCTCTTCCCCTCTCTCCACAGTCTCCCCCTCTCTCCCCCAGTCTCCCCCTCTCTTTCCTCTCTCCCCAGTCTCCCCCTCTCTTTCCCAGTCTCCCCCTCTCTTTCCTCTCTCCCCAGTCTCCCCCTCTCTTTCCCAGTCTCCCCCTCTCTTTCCTCTCTCCCCAGTCTCCCCCTCTCTTTCCCAGTCTCCCCCTCTCTCCCCTCTCCCCCTCTCTCCCCAGTCTCCCCCTCTCTTTCCCAGTCTCCCCCTCTCTCCCCAGTCTCCCCCCCTCTTTCCCAGTCTCCCCCTCTCTCCCCAGTCTCCCCCTCTCTTTCCCAGTCTCCCCCTCTCTCCCCAGTCTCCCCCCCCTCTTTCCCAGTCTCCCCCTCTCTCCCCAGTCTCCCCCTCTCTTCCCCAGTCTCCCCCTCTCTCCGCAGTCACCCTCTCTTCCCCTCTCCCCCCAATTTACCCCTCCCTTCCCCAGTCTCCCTCTCTTCCCCTCTCTCCACAGTCTCCCCTTCTCTCCAACAGTCTCCCCCTCTCTCCCCCAGTCTCCTCCTCTCTTCCCTCTCTCCCCCAGTCTCCCCCTCAGTGTCCTCCGCTCTCCCCCCGGGCCTCCTCTCCTGACAGCTACATTATCAGTGACAGCGCAGTTCACGTGTGGAAGACCTCTGCTACTGCTGCTAATGCTAATGCTAATGCTAATGCTAATGCTTCATCCCACTCTGCAAGTGTTTATATAGTTAAAGCTGGAGGACATAAATTGACAAACAGAAATGAATAAACTGGACCATACCATCTGCTTGTGTACTATATGTTTGTTTAAGGGACTATGTGTGTGGTTACCATAGACTGTAAAAAAGTGATGGAACGTACGCCAAAAATTTCTAAAAAATTTGCAAAAGGTATCTTAATTTAAACCATTTGGTACATAACTTTTTGACTCACTATTATTGTTATTATTATTATTATTAATCTTCATTTCAGACTCAAATTCAGTTGGTCCATAATTTAAAAAAACTCACAATAACTGCATTTCAACTATTTGGCAAAGAGCCATATATGAAAAAAAATAGTGGTTAAAAAAAAAAATAAAATTATGTCCCGTTAGTGTAGAAAATCCACACGTGAAAAAAAAAGGTTTCTTCAAGGATTAATATCATTGTGACTGTGTTAAAACTAGATTTTCCAACAGAACAAATTATTATTTCGAGAACTGTTGTTTTATTTTAGAATTTTTTGAGCAATTTTGTTTTGACTTTTTTATCTTCACTTTTTACAGTGTAGTCCTCTGTTTTCACTAAATCTGAGACCGAGGCCAAAAACACCTGAGAGAAAGAAGAAACTTAAAAATCTGATTCATGTTTTATTGACTGTTATTTCTATACATTTTTTAATATTTCATTTAATTTCAGAATCTTAGGTTTTTTTTTGTTTTTTTTTAGCTTCAGCACTTTTTTGTTGCACACTGTAGTTTTGAGTGACAGCAGCAGAGAGAGACACACAAACGGAGTCATGTAATTTTAATGATTTTTTTCCCAGAGTTCGGGAGAAATTCACCAACGCACACACTTACAGAAACACACACATTCACACACTACACACACACGCACACACACATTCATACAAACCTACACGCACACACACACACTACACACACATTAATACAGACATACACACGCACACATGCATTCACACACACTACACACACACACACATTCGCACACGCTACACACACACACATTCACACACGCTACACACACACACACACATTCATACAGACACACACACATACACACCCACAGACACACACTACACACACACACACACACACATTCATAAAGACACCCACACAGACACACACACATACACACAGACACACACACACACATTCACACACACAAAGACACATAGGTACGCACTCACTCTCACACACATTCATACAGACACACACCCACACACTACACACACACACACACACACACTACACTCACACACACACACACACACACACACACACACTCACACAGTACACACACTCATACATACACACTCATACATACACACACACACAGCGGCACGGTGGCTGAGTGGATAGCACTCTCGCCTCTCAGCAAGAAGGTCCTGGGTTCGAATCCCGGTCGGACCAGGGCCTTTCTGAGCGGAGTTTGCATGTTCTCCCCGTGTCTGCGTAGGTTTCCTCCGGGTACTCCGGTTTCCCCTACCACTAAAAATATGTACAATAGGTCTGGCATGTGCCTCCTGTGATGGCGACCCCGCTCCCATCTCTGTGTGGAGTGAGAGACAAATGCCCAAAAATAACAATTGTAAACCGCTTTGAGACTCTGATCTGCAGTGAAAAAGGCGGTATATAAATAAAAACTTACTACTTACACACACACACACACACACTACACACACACACACACACTTTTGACACAGAAAGGTTAAAGAATATGATGTATTACATTTGAGACGGCTGAGACCGAGGAAGAGACAAGACTGAAATCTGGACCTATTTTATTAATTTATTGTAAATGTTATTGTTCTGTTTTTATTGTATTGTTTTATGTGTATGTATGTGTTTTATTCTTTGCTTTATTTTAATTGTTTTACTTTTTGTAATTGTTTTAATCTAAAGCTGGCCGACATTTGAATAAGTTACCCATATCTGTTTTATAAATAGCACTTATAGATAAATACATTTGATTTTAAATAATAGGAATCAAATCAATTAAAACCATTTTCAACCACAAAATTCACTTCAATGGTTTTTACTTTACAAAGAGGACTTTACAAAGTTGTCGATTCGCCAACAACAGATCAGAGAATCAAACACAAACAAACACAAACACAGAGACTTCACTGCAAAAAGTCTGAAATTGCTCAAATTTGACAAAACGTATCTTACAGTAATTTGAGCGCATTTTTTTTTACAATTTTTAGCAGTGTTGTAATTATTAAAGGTGCTCTGTGTAATTTTCACAGTTGCACCAAATGAAAAAAACATTTTGACCAAACTCAAATGTGACCTTTTTACGAATATTTAACCCCACCATGTTTTTCAATTCTTGTCACAGACTGAGAATCTGTCTGATAAATGTCCCTGAGGCTGGAGGACTCTGTGTGTCAATCCGCCATCTTGAAATACAGTGGTTGATGAGGGACAAAAATAAGTTTGAGCGGGGGTTATGGACCACTGTCAAAGATCACACATTGTCCTGCGAGGGCTTCTGTAGCACCGTAAAATACAATATAAGATCTCAATGCTAGAGGGGAGCAAAAACTACACAGGGAACCTTTAACATGAAATAAATAATATAAAAATAAAATAATATTAATAATGTTTTAAAGGACATCCAGTGGAGTGAAAGAAGATACTGCACTGCAAAAAAATGATAAAGTGTGAGGAGATAAATGTTTGAGTGGTTTTTAATCTGGATTTGAGTTTATTCTGACTGTTTAAACAAGATTTTCCAATTTAGTTTTATTTCATGAACTGTTGCTTTTTTCTCATTCCAAAATATTTTTAAACAAGATATTTTGTTTTGTCCCATTGAAAAAACTTGTTTAACCCTTTACCATTCTCTCCTTGAACAAAGCAATTTCATTTTTTTTACTTTTACGGATTTTCTAAGATCCAGCTAACAAGTAGCGAGTATATATTTGTATTATTATTATTATTATTTTTATTATTATTATTATTATTATTTGTATTATTATCATTATTATTATTATTATTATTAGTATTATTATTAGTATTATTATTATTATTTTTTTTTTTTTTTAATTATTATTATTATTATGATTATTATCATAGGCCTTTACCAAATGGTTGCTATGCAGTTTGACGGTTAAAGTAGAAATATATCATCTAAGGGTTAGCATTCGGGTTAGGCTAAGGCTCAGTCAAAAAGAACTCAAATTAACACAAAATTTAAGCCGTTTTTTACTCATTTGTCATCACATTTTTGCAGTGCGCAGAGAAGCAGCAGAAGAAGTCACCAAACTACATCATAATTGCTCTTTCTTATATCTGTGATTAAAGCAGTAAAGTGTGTTGAAGCCGCCGGCGTCTGTCCATGAACCCTCGTAAAATACTGCATTAAACTTTAACTGAAAGATTCTTTAAAGACTTTAGTCCCACGTCTGACTTAGACCTTTTTATTTAGATCCTCAATAGCTGCTGAAACCTACAGATTTACTGAAGTCAATGAAAAGAAGAGATTGTCCCTTTAATTACTTTGTAGAATCTGGCCTTCGAAAAATGGAGAGACATGAACAGAGTGTGTTCAAGTGTCAGAGATTCTGGACTTTAAAAGGTTAGAACTCTTAATTTAAAATGACTATTATAGATTATTAAAAACTAGGGCTGTCAGAATTATCACGCACGTTAATGACATTTTTTGTTAATCGCATAATAAAATAACGTTAAGTATGTCCAAATGACGCCCATGTGTAACACTCAGAGGACATGTGTGTGAGATGGAGACAGAGCAGGTCTCTGGGAATTCAAGTTTTAAAAGAATAAGTGCATGACCGCGGGGCACTTTCTGTTGTTTGCTCTGAACTGAAGTCCGCCTCCTCCGTGGACGCTGATACCAACACGGCGAACGGCGCCGCGGTAACGTGGTCATATCCAAGACCGCACACGCCACAGAACAATTCTCTGCATGTTGTGTGTGTGTCTTAACGTGGCTGAACCTGTGCAGCACTAAATACACCGCTGAAGCTGAACTCAGGAAGTGTCCGTGTCTCCTCCTGAAACACAACTAAACTCGCTAAATTAAAGCTGGGGTACGTAAATGTCCAGTTTCATTAACAGCTCATGTTGGTTGTGCCCAAAGTAAAAGGTTGTGAATCAAACAGATTTAAGAACATTTGGTCTGAATGACAATGTGTCGTTACATCTGATAATCTTATTTAACTTCAAGTGGAGTGGATTTAAAAGAGAATGTTAAAAATACAATTCACCGTGAGTTAACTCACTGTTACTGTGCAATTAATCTACTAAAAATGTTAATAGTTTGACAGGCCTAAAAAAAGCATTTCAAACTCAGACATATCAGAGATATAGTGGGATTAGGGCTGAAAACTATATGTCTGCATTTTAATCTCTATAAACACATGTTGAACGGACTGGCCCCTCAGTACGTCGCAGACCTCATTGAAGTCTACACCCCAGTGTGCTCTGAGGTCTGAGGGCCAGCTCCAGCCGGTGGTTCCTAAGACCAAACGTAAACGAGGGGACAGAGCGTTCTCTGTTGTCGGCCGTAAGCTGTGGAACGCTCTGCCCCTCCATGTCCGACCCGCCCCAACACTGGAGTGTTTTAAATCTCATCTTAACCCTTTAGGCGCCAGAGTTTTTTCAAGAAAATATACAATTTTGATTTCAAGATTTCAAAAGGCTATAACTTTAAAATGGTTTGAGATAAAGGCATACTGTAAATTAGAAATATCTTCAGTTTGAACCAAACTTTGGGATGGAAGTTGATTCGTCATCTAATTTGCATATTGTGACGTCATCAAGGTGGCGGCCATTTTGGAAAATGTTAATTATTGTATAAAAACTTCAAAAAGCTGTAGTTTGGGAGTTTTTTTTAGATCAGGGAATACTATAAACAGTC